AATCAGATTTTAAATGAGTAACATTTAAAAAATTATTTTGATCTCTATTGTTTATTTATGTGTAATTAGTGATAATATTGGAAGAGGAGGTTGATTGACCGCTATCGACTTGTCATATTGTTTATTTTTTTTAGTCGAATATCGTAAATAACGGATCTCTTGTATGTGTTTAATATAAATTTACATAATATATCTAGGTATTATGTTAACCAAGTACTGCTGTTGGTAATTTTAGAAATGGATTAACTGTGTTTATTCGCACATTTAATACATCATGCTTACTTGATGAAAAATATTTGACTCACTCCAATTTATTACTAATTTCATAGGTGTAATTATGTTGATCGCACATGATGTTAAATTTATCTGTTCGTCTTGTACTGTTGTACCAAGTATTAACTGTTTTGCTAAATTAGTTATAATATAATGCTCGTAATATATGCAGAGTGATTCATTAAGTATTTTCACACCCCCCCCCCCATTTTATCCTTTAATAATGCATTCCTTTAACTCTAGTTTGTAGAGTTTTTAAAAACTCTGAATAGCTATATTTTTAAATATATAACATATTTTTAAAAATATGTTATATATTTAAAATAAAATAAAATAAAATATTTTTCCAATTTAAGGAGTGTCCTTGGGTACAAACTTCTTTATTTCAATATTCTTATGATTTTGTGGAACATGTTGATGGAACGAGTAATTTCTAAGCTATTAATATTTATGACTGTACTAATAAAAATAATACTCAATAATAATTTAACTTACAATATTGAATTGCGTAGTTCGTTCATTTCGTTATACTTGGAAGAATTTTGTAATTTATAAAATTTGTTAATATCATTTTATAGCTTCCTTATCGGTTAGGGTAGTAGAAAAATAATTTGTTTATTATAATATAATCGTTATAATTCGAAAAAAAAATAGTTTTACCACCACAGGATAATCTTTAAATAGTAAAATGAATCTTAAAATTAGAAAATATGATTCTTACAACCTATACATGTAGGTACTTGAAAAATTCCAAAAGTCAGAATTTGGATGAATTCGTTATTAAAGTGGAGAAAAGGAGTCTTTTTTTGATTTCTTAGAGACTCCTACAAGATCCAATTTGCTACTTTCAACTAAATTCTCAAACTTGGAAATATAAATATAAATAATGTAAATAGTGTTTTCAGATGTATATATATATAAGTAAACACAAAGTAAAATAAATACATTTATCTCAAAATCTAAAATAGGGGTTAGCGTTCTCAATGAGTCTTATGTAAATTTAGATTGTTTGATCATATACTTTCATTAAGCAACTGCAACAAAATAATAAATAAACTGTAAAACAAAAGTTTTCTCTTCAAATTTAAAAAAAAAAACACTAAAATAGTTAATAATTTATAAGTAAATAAAATTTCACTATTAGACCAATCAAGTGTATCGTACACATACGTAGCACCACTTGTACATCATTCTGTTATCAAATTAAAAATAACTAAACATTTTAATTGTTTTCAATCACACCACTTGTAAGTAGCTGTATTTAGTTAGTTTTAATTGTAAATCAAACCTATTTACGTTAAATGCTTCATAAATATCCTTGTAGTTAAAATACTTTCATATTTTCATATAATCTATACAAAAAAGTTATCAAATTCAGATTTAGTTACAATTTATTTGTTACACGAGCAATTTACTAACTATATAAAATCAATAGATCATGGAAAAAAGCTTAAAAAGCTTACAAAGTTGTTCTAAATCTTAAAATATTCATTTCTAACAAAATAGTTATTTTTATTATTTATTTATTAGTGATAAGTAAATAAATTATTACATAAAATACCATAGGGAAAATAATAATTTATTTATTTCTTTTGTAATCCCAGTGGGAAATTATACTTATAAGTTATAACACTATATAGCTGCTTAAGTCCCCTGATAAACAGACACATTTTAAGAAATGGTTCTAAATTGCCTACTCATTGCGCCGTCTTAATTTAATTTTTACGTTGTCATAAAAATATCAGTATAGAAATGAAACCTAGTTTTTATAAAAGACTGAAAAACCATGTATAATGTTTGAATTCCCATTTATGCCTTTATATTATGAAACGATTAAAAACTAAGTAAGAGTTGGGTAATAACCTGTGGATGGTTTGTCTTTGTAATACTAGTAGAGCTATATTATATATTATTATTGTGTATATTGTACATTTGGACTTAACAAAAATATTTATTCTTTTGAGAGCAAATAAACTGCTTACGAGCTTATGTACATATAATCGTATCTCAAAATGAAAATCGTCCTCTGGCGAGTGGCGAGGTAATCGGGGTGTATAGGATAACACGAACGCTAAACAATTATTGGCCTGGGTCTTTTTATTATAGTCTTATAGTGTTAATTTTTGTAAATATACACTTCATTTTTTAGATTCCGAACGGAGCAATAAATGTAAGTATTGGTTTTACAATAATGACGTGTGTTTTTTTCCTATAATTTTTTGTGTGTCTGAACTTTTGAAGGCACTTTTTATTGTACAAAAAATGTTCTAATGTTCAAGTTAGATTTCTGGTAGAAAGTTTATAGTGTGGACATGAGGGTTAAAAAAGTACTATTAAAAATTCAATTAAAACAAAACTAGTTTTTGACAATATGTATTTTGCCTTATTCATTTGATTTGTTACCTCATAAGTTTTCATTACAATAATTATACAATATTTTATCACAAAGCTACATTATTTTGTTTGAGGTTTTGGATTTCATTTTCGACTGTGTTCTGACTATTATGTAGTTAAATGTAACAGGTAATACAGTGTTATAATATTGAACTATAATTGTTTTGTTATATAGACGACAATTCATTGTAACGATATTTAAATAATATTGTAAGATAAAATATGAACAATATTTGAACACTGCAAAGCCGACCACCATTCCAGTTTAAACCATATTTTGATATAGCTGTTATACTATTGCTGATAATATTATGTCTGACATACATTTTAATTCAAATTATATAAGTAAATCAAACTGAGCCAAATAATTATATACGGTAATATATCAAGTGATTTACTAATCATGCTCACTCCTATTTATATTACATATGGATTTTACATGTCTATATTATAACTAGTCTGCTCTAAAAATACTATAAACAATCATTGGTATAGCAAAAAGAAAATATTTTGACAAATATTGAAACATATATATATATACATATATGAAACGTATAAAGCAGTTAACGAACCTTTAAATTTTCATCATGCAAAGACAATACTAATAGGAACATTCAGTGAAAATTTCAAGTATCTGCGGTTGTCGGTTAGGCATATTCGCATAATGGTTATTATAATAACTAGCTCAATGATTCGCCTTTTGAAAATTAAATTTTATAATATGTTTTTTTATTTCACTATCGTGTGTTTTCTAACCTACATACTTTGGGTCCAAAGTTATGTCAGGCACGTTATTTTTCATTGCTCTTACCATTGCATTATTTCAGATTTGGGTGGTGTATATTTAAAAAACTTCAAACTTATTCTTTTTTTTCAAAAATCATGTTAAAATCATACATTACAAAGGTAAAAGTTTTTAAACAATAAAGTAATTAAAAAAAAATTGTTAAGGATTGTTAAATTGTATTATGAAAAACTAGGTTTCATCGTTTTAAGAATAAACATAAATAGTTTATAAAGATATTTGAGGTCCGGCTTCATTTTTAAAATGTTGCATTTAATTTTAAAAAATTTAAAATTATTTTATCATCGCTCAATTGATGTGATATAATATTAGTTCCTATACATAATAATGGTCAAAAGTTTAAAATTTCTGAGGTTTCCAATTTTCAGGGAAAATTTATTTTTGTAAATATTTAAATAATTAAATTACCCACTTCTATTAAGTAGGTATTCATTTAAATACATTATACGTATATATAGTGGAATATAATATATATATATAGTAACCAGGTGGGTATACAAGGACAAACCTAATGATTTATTGATTTAAAATAAATGCATTTTCAGTTAGTATTTTTTATATCTATATTTTGTCATCGTATCATGCATTTATTAAATATTCATACAAAGTAATAACTATAGGCTTAATATTATATTTTACAAAGACTATTGAAAAGTTTCAAACATTTCAGAAGTCACGAACTATGATTTAAAAACTTGAAAATCGTCTAATCCACCCATTTTATAATTACAAGACCGTATCGGGACAGTATAAATAAAAATATATTGTAAACTGGCAGCATTTTATCGTAAACATGTTTTAAATGTGTAGTAGAGACATTTTTTTTCAAATTTTTCACTATTAATACACTGTTGTATCAGGAGAATTCGCGAAATATACACTGTACAGAATTACACGAACATTATTTCTTGTGGCAGGGAAGCACCGGGGCATGTTGTGCGCAACACTACTTGCATCCATGTGTGTTCTATGTCGTACTTATGCTTTTCACAAGAAAATAATATTATTTTAATTACACTGTTCTATTTACACTATCTGTTCTGTGTGTTTTATAAACTATAAAATAATACTCCATAACTGCAAATACACACTTATAAGTACGAGTTGTCAAATTTGATAAATATTTATTGAAATATAACAGCAATAATTATAAAATCGAAATCGATCATCACGATCTTGAATTAAAATTAACAATGCAATAACAATACATTTATACGCATACGAAAAGAAAGTTTTGAGTTTAAGTTTTTTTTTTTTTTTTTTGGAAGTAGATATATAGGTACTTGTGACGGAAATGTACAATTATATGTTATTACAGGTATATAAGTACATTGAAAAGTCCAAATACGTAACATGTCCGGTATATGGTCACTATACGCATAGTACGTGACACAAAGAAATAAGGATACATATATACATACTGTATTTAATAAAGTGTGACTAGTGAAATGAGCAAGAATGAATGAAGAAAAAAATAACTGTCCGACGACAGTGCGCTGCAGCAATTGTAGCGGGAAGGTGGTGGTGTTAGATTTCTACGGTTAGTGGTCCGTGACACCCTCCGTGCGGGAGCGATGGTTAAACACAAATCAAAGTGGTTTTTAATAAGTTACCTGAGTAATAACCATTCGAAGTCCGGCAAATGCGTGCTGTGGCCAGTCATATAGATCTCCAATAGTCGTCACGTCAACATGGCGCGCCGTCCAGAGACCGTGCAATTTTTGGCTGTCGTAAGTTTACGAATGGGGTTTATTTTCTTTTCTTTTTACAAAATAATTCCTATGTTTAGTTTTACATTTTTCACGATTCGCAACGACGTGATGTCCATCACACGCGTATACAACTGCAGCAGACTGCAACACGTCTGCATGTGTTATTATGACTGTGTTTTTTTTTATGTTGGCAGATCGTGATCGTCGTACAACATTTGACTCATTTGGTCGAATGCGAAGATAAAAGGTAAGTTATACTACAAGAACTAATGGTTCAACATTTAATAATACAATTATTTGGATGTTTGTATCCATGAATAATGTAAATAATATTATACATAATAAAGATAATATTGAATTCATATCTGTAATCTCTGGTGTTCGACAGTAGTTATGCATCTGAAAAGTAAAAACCTACTTGATAAGTACTATTTTATTTACTTTACTTTTTTGGAAAACACGTTGGTATCATAGTTGAAAAGGTTCACAATAGTTAATAATTCCATAACGATAATTAATTATGCTCAAATGTTTTTATATTAAACACATGTTCAAATAATGTTTCAATAATTGTTTTACTATATTTTTACACACAATATTGTTATTGTATCATTATTTTTAAATCTTAATACGTATTAATAACTTAGGCATATTCTTTAAGTATACCAACGCGTATACCATATGTGGTTACTGTGTAAAAACTCTTTCAATTGGAAATCACCAGTATGTTCATACAGAGTATACGTTTGGTTATTTGGTAATTTAAGGACTTTTAATGTTAATATTTGTATTATTATATTATTATATTAGATGACGTGCCACGTGCATAATTTAATCAGAATGCTGAATGATCAATGGTAACAATATTAATAATATTTAATGAAAAAAAAAGTTAGTTTTAAGTATTTTTAAATTCAAATTATATTGTACAAATTGGTGTTTTTTAAGAAATATAGTAAAAAGTTATTTAAGGTTTATTCAAATCAATAATTTTAATTTTAAAATTAGCCCACGCCGTAGTATTTTCAATGAAAAGTCTGTTCACCCACCCAAAAATCACAATAAAACTAACATTCATCGTACAGCATTTGCACTTATCATAAATAATTATTTTAAAAATTGTGTAGTAAAAAAAAAAATTAAAATTAAACTTAAAAAAGAATATTAAATTATGTAAACGGTTAGTCAAATTATTGATAATATTTTTAAAATACTTGTTATGACTAAGACTGCGGCCATTAATCTATATATTTTCTTTTACGATTTCATGGGAGATATAAAGATAGATCAATTTTTGTTGAATTTAACTTCTGCATAATAATATGAATAGGTACGCAGAATGCATTTTGTATATTTTAATGCTCTAAGCATGAAGCTGATAATAACGTTTTTTACATATTTTCTTGTTTGTTCATATTTTATCTTTATATATATAATAATTCTACTGTGCGTTTGTATCTCACTGAACTCCTCCTAAACGGCTGAACCGATTTAAATGAATTTTGTTGTATGCGTTTGGGTGATGCCCTGGATGGTTTAGATTCAAAATTGGACCCGATAGGTCCTACCCGGGGAGTCGCTCAAACAGGGATTTTAAGATTTACAAAGGAAATATTTGTTTATATACGGTTGGTATTGGTTATAGGAGAAATATAAATATATTTAGTAGAAGTTGGTATTTTTTTTTTTGTTTATTGGTTGCTTGCAGTGGTTCATCGAGCAGATCAGGTATAAGCATGCATACAAATATACAATTGAATTTTCGCACATTGCCTACCAAGGTGGCTGAGTTGCACTAATAGCTGCTCTTCGGCGTATCCACAATAAAAATAAAAATAAAATTTATTATTTATATAAAGTACTCATCAAGCCTGGTCCGTATCCACAGCAGGTAGGCATAATACACTGCTCGCATCACCATCGAGTCTCATAGAGAGTTGGAATTTTAAACGGGCAACAAAGTGCACGGGATCGGCTAGTAATTTATAATTTTTTTGGAATTATTTAGAAACCTGTGATTTTACCTTTCTACATTTTAATTCCAATAATTTTCCAAAGACAACTGAGTTTTAAATTGTTATTGTAAAAATATAACTTATTTACTTGATTTTATTTATGATCTTCAAAGTTTAAAAACAAAATAATTTTTTTAGTGAAACATTATTCATAAAAAAAGAATAATGATGATTAACGTAATCATAACTAGATTTAATACAATATTTTTCATTTTAGTCACTGATATTTTTAATTTAATTCGTATAGTTTTGTTGCATTTTTAGAAATTTGTAATTTATAATACTATATTGTACCTATTCTTGATGCATCCGTATTCTTACAGTTACTTAGTGCATATAATTTACATCACTGATATAAATTAAATCAATTTATAATCAGTTAAAAAATATATATAAATTATTATTGATTTTCAGTACCTATTTGTATATTTATGTATTTAGTACTCTGTAGATAATACAAAATAAAAAGTAGTAAGTTTAATGAGAGATAATTTTTTTTTTTAACAAGTATCAATGAAATAAAATTGACTCTTTTGACTATTATGAGTTGTAAACTTAGTTGTGTATGCGACTAATGGTGTCATTGGTTGATGTATTTAACACGATACAAGTATATGAGAATTCGTAGCAAAACTATTTGAATCATCTATTTATTCAAGTAGACATCGACCGACCATTGATAGGCACATAATAATAATTACTGCAAAATACTGCAAAATCGGTGTAAATACTGTTGAACCACAGCAGAATCATGAACATTTTAACGTATGTCTAGCAATTGTGTAGGTAAATGTTAGGTACTTCCCATGTTTATTGAAAATCTAATAAATTATATAATGTTTTGCAAAAACCGATTACGATAAATTAAAACCAAAAATATATTTGTTTTTTTTTTAAAGCTTATGTATCTATATCGCATCAATGGGTTTAAAGTGTGATTTGTTATGCTGTTTTATATAACTGTGTCTGCTATGCAAATCTTAACGCTAGTTAAATCGTAATATTTTTTTAGAAACTAAAGATATATAATTATGTGGATCTGAATACCAATCATATAATGGACATTATTATGTAAATTCAAAAATTACACTAGGTTTACAGGTATTGATGTTGTAATCATTAGCATATAATATACAAGGAAGGATGTCTCCCCCGCAAGACTAACAAACTTATTACCTATTTCTATATTACTTTATTTATTATACTCAGGGGTTTTAAGTGGGGGAGATGAAGGGGGACCTCTGAAATTCTTTCCCACTTTAAGCCCTCATTATACTAGGTACATGTTTACGTAAAACATTAGCGATATTGATTTTATATTGTATGGTTCAAAGATGTTTCGTTTTAAAATAGTTAAAAGTTCACTATAGAATCATATTATGTAAATAAAGTGATTGCAGTGCTTTATATATAACGAATTAAAGGTTCACTAAAGATATTTTTTTAAATACTTTTACGTTGGAGAAAAATATTGAAAATTCCGCAGTTTATAATACACGAAATTAAATATCTACGTTAGTATAATTAACTAAATTAATACATTTATTTGTTGCTTTAATAGTAATATAGTACTTATGTGTCAGGCACAAGTACATAAGTGTTTAATATGCGAATGGTTAGTGTTATGACATTAACATTTAGTTGAATAATAAGGTTAGCATGTTTATTATTATTATTATTTCTTTTTTTACTAGCCATTAATATCTATTATTTGTTCAATAATCCGACACAAGTATTAAAATAAAAACGAATTATGTACTCTTGTGTGACGAGTTCTGGTGTACCTACTAGACATTTTAAGCTATTCGATTGAATAATAGAGAATCGCTTGATTGCATTTCAATGACACGTGACCGCGTTACGTTAGAAGTTTAATAAACATTTTGTTACATAATACTTTGTCGGACAGGTGTGCCAAATCTCTACAAAAAGTGATCTATTGATACATTTTAATGTAAACGACGAGACACGAGTTATGAATTAAAATTGAAATTACAATATACAGTGTATGGGTTACCTACTTAGCAATTCTACTACTATTGAAAAATTATGTTCTGAAATAAAAATGTCATCTACTCTATAAATAATACTAAAATAATAGAAGCATAGCCGTATAGGACGCTCACAAGTTGGTATAATATGATGTAGCTACTTTATGAATTCAAAATAAGCTAAGGGTGAAAATAATATTGGCTGTATGTTGTGTTACGAAAGCTTGTTTTTATTTATTGTTACTAATGTATTAGTTCGTAATTTTATTCATGCACACTACGACCTCATATTTTAAAAATATAATGGGAACAAATATTATGCGCAGAAAAATGTTTTAACAGCTGTAACGGTTTTACATAAAATAAAATAAAAATCGATGTAATGTTAAAATAATGGTAATTGTAATGAAATTTATAAGAAAATATTCTTCGTGTAAAACTGTATTTACAGTTTTAAAAGCTTAACATCAATTAAAGTAGTAATTGATTTAATGTCAATTCAATGGTAGGTTGGGTAAGGGATTATGGAAAAATCTGTATAACGTATTACACCATAGTTAAATATTATATTAAATGAGAACTAATAATGGCTTTGGCCGTTGAAGGGCTTAAAGACGAAGTACAATTTTCTTTACAAATGATGTTGAAACTGATAACTTAAATAAATAGCATTGCAGCAGCTGATGTGTACCCTTCCTACTTGGTTACTGATAAAAAAATGTTTAAATCCCGTAGTGAACAGTAAATATCTGGGAACAAAAATTACTGAAAACTTAATTCATCTACCCTCCCTGTACGATATTTAGTGGTGCATCTTTAATAATAAAATAACATTTTGTATAGTTTTGTTATAAAGCTTTAACGCATTAATAATTACATACATTTATAAAAATTAGGTACAATAGTAACGTCTTCTTAAAAGACAAAAGCTGTGGTTGAGGAGAGTGCATCTAATTAGAGTAGATAAAATGGTTAGTAATATATTAATATTAAATATATATTATATAGCCACTACATAATATTTTAAATATATCTATAACACAATAATAGGTTAGTTAGGAATAATTGTGTTAGTATGATTTTTATAAAAAGATTATTGTAAAAAAACATTAGTTGTATATTTTCTAAGCACTTTAAAACTATTGAAATTGTGAATAATATTGTAGTTTTTTTTAATCTTAATCCACGGCAGATATAGCCATTATCACTTTGGTGGGGGGTTATGGTTGGTTGAAGAACACGTGAATGTGTGGCCTAAGATTCGTCACTATAAACTTGGGTGGTCAGCCAACTGAGAACTAGCGACGCCGGCTGATTTTTCAGAATACGTTAGTGACTGAGGCCTACCAACGAGTCACACTAGACCCCGATATTTTAGTTTTTACTTATATTTAATACAAAATTGAATGAACTTATATTTAGAGTTTTTAGCCCAATAGCTGTTTTCATCTTAAGTACATTAATCATACTACGATTAGACAATTTAACGCATAAGTGTTAGCCTTAAAGCTAAATATTGTAATTGTAAATGTACTTGAAATAGCACTTGATGTGCTGAAATATTTTACAAATAATAAATAAAGAAAAAAAGACTTTAAGCGGGCATTGAAGTTATCATAACTTAGTTATGACATGAAATATCAATGCAAGTATTATAATACTAATACATAACACTGAGCAAACTGCAAATGAATTTTTCATGCAATAATTTAAAGCTTAATATTATCTCACCGGATACCCTACCCCATGCATTCACCTACACTCCAGGATAGAATAATAGAAAAATCACCTAATTGTGGGTTATAGCGTGATGCTATAATATTATAATTATTAAGAGTGTTGTTCACGCCTGGTTATTCTTGTCCTCAGAGTCGTTATTTTCATGCCCCGTCGGATCAAGACGGTGCACCATCACCATCACCACGTGGTGCTGATGGACCCAAAGACGAAAACGATGAGGCACACAAAACCATACTTAGATAAGTCGTTGTCGTCGTCGATCACGTCCTCGTCTGCCGAGGTAGACTACCAGCAGCAACGGGACCGCCATCGTCATTATCAACGCCAACGACAGCAGCAGCAGCAACAGCAGTAACAGCAGCAATCTGAGGAAGCCGAAAGTCATCCTCTGTCATACTTCCACCAGCGAACAACGGTGAGGACCGGTGACCCGAACACTGTGCAGTATCCTGTATCGCAAATGCAACCTGCAGTGATGCAATTGCAGCCTTTTCAGACGTACTCAAGTTGGCCACCCAGGCAGAAGAGGTCCAAAGTCATTGCCAGACTGCTGTACACCCATGATGATTGAATCCGTTTCGTCGTATTGAAAATGTATTTATTTTCCACAATCATCGTCCGTTTCATTTAAAGCACAACGACCCCTGCTGCATTTAATTTCAAATTTTCACGGTTGTATACCATAATAATAATATATTATTCCTTTAGTGTGCATTTAGGTAGGGTATAGATCGGGGGTGCTATGGCGTCAAATCATTAACGGATATTATAATATTTATATTTAGAGCAAACAATGTTAAATAATATAAAACTCGATAATAGTATTTCGTTTCTTTCGAAAACTCGGTAATGTCTCACAACATTCAATTTTCAAGGCACTTGATGTGTATGATTACCATTCCACACTAACCTCATAAAAGTTGTTTTAAGTACGTATAGATCGATGTCTGGCAATTTGTTAAATATCTACAATAGATTGAGTATTCCCAATAGCAATGTTTTTTTAAAATTATTCTCGACTATCGCCATTGGGTTAATATAATAATAACATTTGTAGTAATATAAAACATTAAAACATTTGATAATTTTTCAAAAAGTCAAAATAACAGGTCTATATTATAATAATATTGGCTTTATGGAGTCGATACCACATTACCATTGCATATTAAATTAATACCAGAAAATATAATATAATGCCCATAAATATATCTAGGTTCTATTATATTGTAATACTAATGTATAATCATGTTACAAAAGTAATAATATTATGAACTATGTATATAGTTACAATGAGTAATTAACAATAATAGTATTTTAGCATTTAATTTTAACTGTCGATATCCTAGATACGTTGTCCACCCCATTTTACGTTTAAAAATTTTATAAACGGGTATAGATATAGGAATATGCAATGTACATTTATTAAATACTGTACTGCAGTGCAGTACGCGTATCCAAAATACGCGATACGCCTAATATTTACTTTATTTAGTTAATCAGTACAATATAATATTATACCTATAAAGAATAAGACATTATTAAAACAATTGTGTTAGGTTACTAAGAATAATATCAAGTTCAATATTTTTATCTTTCAAATCGTTTATATTTTAGCTATATCTAACATTATGAATTTATTATTTCAGATGACAAGTTTTGTAATTACTAATGAGTTCAGTTTGTTTAAAAGTAGATTACAATAATATCGGTATTAAGGACATTTTTAGCATCAGTTTGTATTCAAATTATTCTAGAATATAAATATTATGATTTTCTAATGATATGAAGTATTACCTATGTAAATCATTGTATAAAATTGTACTAAAAATCAAAGATATTTATTCAAATGATTCAATTATTTGTAATTCAGTTATTCAAGTTGATACTGTGCACAAAAGAAAATTAATCATTAATTCATTTTATGAAGTAACACCTATGTATGATTATTGAAATCTCAATATTTTCGGTTCCGTTAATAATATTATTAGTTTAAAACTTTTATTTTAGTGTAAAGCCGATTAAACATTGGTCTAAAAATATCTTATACTTATAGTTTTTCAACAGTTTGATTTATTTTTCATAAGAATTTATTTTAATGGTGACCTCACAAAGCATATAATGAGAAATCAAATTAATTTTTTTTATAATAATATCTTTTTATACTACATTGAAAAATATATAAAATAAAATATTGTAAATAAAAAAAAACCCTCAAATGTTAAACTAATAATTGATTATAAATAATTTATAAGCAGCAATTTTAATAGTTTAAAGAACCGGAGTAGTAAGGGCACAGTACAGTAAAAGTTCATGGAATGTCCTCTGCCAGTCCACTCCTCAGTCCTCTCCTCTTATTCAAACTTTTATGTTTGTATTAATAATTTAGTTTGTTTAATAATAGATCATGTCATATTTCAAAAATTAATTTTCTATATGTATGTATGATCATTATATAATGACCTAAACCTTCAGTCGGCTATCGTTGCTCACACAGTGGTCATTAGAAGTTCTCAGTCGATGTCGTCCAATGACTCGACAACAGCATATTTTGTTCTAAGGTAAATTTACATAATCAATGATCATATTCACACCATATTGTAATATACGATGGTAATTTATGATAATAAACAAATTAATTGAATACATTAAATATTTTTATACCTAGGTAACTAAGAATTATAATAGTCACAACTACTGTCTTCAAAGGTTAAAATTTAAAGTTGTACTCCAAAGATATAAAATATATAATAAATCTCACAAAATTCTCGTACTATTTAACCTACCTAACAGGTATAAAACCAAAAGTTAATGCTTTTTTATGATGATTATTTTAATACTTGTTTAATATCGAACATGCGTTCAAAGTGAGTCTTAAAAAAACCATTTTTAAAAGTTCTCTAAAATGTGTTATCTCTATGCTTACCAAAAAACCAATGACGAAATAAGAAACAATTTAAATTCTAAGTGGTATCATGTGGGCGTTAGAAAAATAATTTTTCAAGCCCTTCGAATACTCGCGTACTCCCGAGATCTGGCTTTACTATAACTGTACTTCGCCCACACCTATAAAGATGCAGGGTCGGCATTGTTGATTATAAGTGTTGAGAACAGGTAACAGGAGTATAATCTATACAAGATAAAGACAATTTCATAAAGGTATAGCTACATTTATCTAAATAAGGATAACAATTATGAAATTACGGATAAATAATTTTAAGTATACTTTTGCATTACCTAAAGTAAATATTTATAATATATATACATATATGGTTATATATTGAAAACCTAAAGTAAATTTGTCATTCAAACAATATTGTAATTGGAAAATAGTATAAATGTATTCCTAATACAAGTTATAGCAATTATTCAAACACATGATTATTCAAACAACTCGAAAAAAAATCGCAGTCTTAATAAAATTGTATATTCAATTTAGAGTACTTAAGTTTGTCCTTGGTTCTGAACATTATTTGAGTGAGTGTTTAGGTAAGTATAGGATACATTTTTATTATTACTAAATAATAACATTATTTAACAATTTTAACTACAGAAGTCGTACAATAATTATCAACATAATACGCATAAGATAAAATATGGGCAGTTTTTATCTATGTTACCTATATAATCTTTTAAAGTATAAATATATGAATGTTTGTTTGTTTGTTCATCATTTATAGACTCAAAAACTACTGGACCGTTTTCAATAAAAGTAATATCAATGGACGGGAATATAGTTTGTATCTTGGTTTTTCAACCAATATAGGTCGTTATAGGGTGGCTTACACAGTCACACAAACATTTTGTTTTGGCTCACGAAAATCGAAAATTTGACTGTTTATACAAAGGCATTTATTACAGATGATAAAATAATTATTATGATTGAATATAGTACCATTGGTTATAAATACTAGTATTTATAATCAACGATAGTACCTATAGTAATTATTTATTGTATTAAATTTTGTCATTTAGGTTAATAAATCTATACAATATAAATGTAAAGTTGAGAAACAGCTATACTAAATAAGAGATAAAATGAACCTATGGGCGAGGCTTTTATTATAAAAAAATACTCGACCGATTTTAATAAAAAAACATCTGAGAATTTTTGTCAGAAATAAAAAGTATACGCTAAGTATAGATGATGGATTATAACAAAAAGTCGGCTAATATAGTAGATACATATTATAAGACGAGTTATATTTAAATGACACATAAGCAAATCCACAGTTTTTTAATAAATTGGCACACTCCCCTTTTTTCAATACTTAATGCAGCTCTTCAAAATCGGATTTTTGTATTTTTAAACACACTTAAAGACCATAATTCAAATTCTTGAGATTTTTTTTATACTTCTCGTGAAGATACAAAATTCTATTTTGTAAATGAAAGCCCCCCCCCCCTCCCCCACTTGCTTACAGTAAATTATTAAGTGCATCATTTTTCTGAGAAATTTGACGTATAGAATCAACACTTTCATGAATACTTTTTGCTATTTAACTTTATGTACCTACAAAGGATAATTTTTCTATAATAGTAGGTGAGGTTAGATAAGGTTAAACACGGGTGTTATGGGGATTTGAAAATGTAAGTGATTAATATTAATCCAACAACATCAATTATTGTTGTCCGGGTGTATAATAAATACTAGAATGACTATTATTCTTAGTACGAAGTACAAATATTTAAACGGTTAAATAATTGTTCACATTTTAAAAACAAAAGTGTGTATTGATACAGGATACTCCTGAAGTAGTTTTAAAAAGTTGTAAGTATTTAAGTAGGTATGTTTGAAATTTTCAAAATCAGACTTTGAATAAATTCATTTTTAAAGAGAAAATGGTTGTGTGCATGTTTGGTGGTAAGGTTAGGTAGCTAATCATTTTGTAAATCATAATGCCTTTGATTACCGATCATATCAATATTATAATCAGTGTAAAATATATGGTTTATAAAAATTAGAAAACGTAGGATAACAAATTTGTGTTGACTACTTAAAAAATAATATATACGGATAAGACGAGTGGGTTTTGTATGAAAAAAACAATTTATTTTCGAATGTACTAAAACAAAGTACCTCATTAAAAAAAATAAAAGCAAATAGATAATAAATTATTAAACACATAAATAAAGTCAGTTAAATTAAATAGGTGTTGCAATTTCTTTCAAAACTGTACAACCGGTAACGCCGCGGATAATTCACCTGTAGTGCATAGTATAATAATATAATATAGACAAGAAGCGTTTCCGTCGCCGTTGCCTGTCCGTCATGCGGTCGTCGTCAGCGACGGCAGTGGACGTGATGCTGTTCAAGACCATCGGGCTGTACCAGCTGCTGTGCCCGGCCGACCGTGGCGGTTACAGCGTCCGGTTCAGGCGCCTGCTGATGACGGCTCTCGGCCTGTCGTTCGCGTTGCACTCGTTCCAGGTGCCCTGTCTGTACTACGCGCTCAACGACTTGCAGCGGTTCGCGTACATGGCCGCCGTCATCATATACGGCATGATGTGCTCGTTCAAGGGTTACGTGCTGGTGACCAACGCGGACCGTCTGTGGTTGGTGCTGGACGCGGCCGGTTACGCGTTCACCGGCTGCGGGCACCGTGACCCGTCCAAGCTGCGCCGGTGCCGGGCCACGCTCTCCGCATTGCTTCGCACGTTCGTCGCGCTCAGCTATGGCACGCTGGTCGTGTGGATCGCGTTGCCGTTTTTCGTCGACGAGTACACGGGTGTCACCAACCTGGACGGCACCGTCACCCGGTACCGCACCACCATCCACAACATGCAGTTCCCCGTCCCGTTGACCGTGTACAACTCGCGTCCCTTCTGGGCGCTCATCTACTTCACCGAGGTGTTCGTGTGCATAGTCAATGTGTTCATATGGTCGCTGTTTGACTGTTACCTGGTCACCATGTGTTTCGTGCTCAACGCTCAGTTCCACACCATGTCAGCCGGCTACTGCACGCTCGGCAGTCGACGACGCAGAGAATCATCGCAACCGAACACGTCCCGCACGGGTATCTTATACTGCTATAAAATAACTGTTTGTTATTATTTGAGCCTTTATTGTTGTAGTTTATATTATATTTTAAAGTTGTGGTACGATTCAACTGCACATCTCAAACTCGACCGAAAGGTGTGGGGGTTAGCCCGAATATTATCCCTCCTGTTTAAAAACGACAAACAAGTTATTTTGATATTTTCATTGACAAAAATTGCCGAACTTAAAGAAGTACTTTAAGTATAATTGTCTTAATAAAA